AGGATGGTCTCGATCTCCTGACCTCGTGATCCGCCCGTCTCGGCCTCCCAAAGTGCTGGGATTACAGGCTTGAGCCACCGCGCCCGGCCGTGGGTTTTCTTTTCTTGCAACTTGGTGCCTTTCCCTCACACGACGTGTTCTCTGATTCTCAGGCTCTGCAGTCCAGGCTGCTAGCTCTTATCCCTGTGTGGCTATTTCTATTTAAATTAATTAGAGGTAAATTGAAAAGTCAGCTTCTCATTCCCATTAGCTACATTTCCAGGACTTAGTAGCCACCTGTGGCTGGCTGGTGGCTGCCACACTGCACCGTGCAGGACTGGGCACATTGTCACTGCTGGCAGCTCTGGGCTGTGCCCATCAGTGGGCTTGTTGGGTGGTGAGGGGCTGGGCTGGTGAGTTGCCTTCCCTCTTCAGGAACTCATTCTTGAGCTCGCCTTTGTTGGTTTATATGATTTCTGGTGTTGATTGAAGTTTTGGAACCTGTTCATACTGGTTATCATGTGTGGTCCTGGGTATTCATTATTTCTTGCTGGTTTTGGTGCAGTTCCTTTTCTTCCTTACACGGTTTGGCTTATTCATAGCTCCCCATATTTACCTTTCTCTCTACTTCTGTGCAAAAATATACTTTAAAAACAGATATATACTTCATAGAAAAACAAACCTATGTTTTTTGATACTCTATTAAATCATCCCAAAATTAAGGGGAGGGCATATTTAACCTTCCGTTACATTACAGTTATGTTAAAAAATATTATTTTATTTTGGGTATTCTTTCAGTACATTTATTGAGAACCCCTTATGTACTAGACACTTGTAATCATTGAGGAATTGATGATGAGTTAGCCATTTCTGCCCTCCTGGCATTTACATTCATCGTTACTGAGTCGTAGCTTTTCACACAGGTTATTTTAATTAATTTTCCATTTTGATATTTAAGTGGTCCCAACTTGACCAGTGGGGGAGCCCCTTTAAATCCATGGCTCCCTTGCCACTTAGCGCTGCCCTTGGCGTTTTGAGAGCACTGCTTTCTGGAACAACGGGTTATTTAAGACTATTTGGTTTTGGCTTTCTTTCTTTCCTTTTTCTTTTTCTTTTTCTTTTCTGTTCTTTTTTTTTTTGAAACAGTCTCGCTGTGTCACCCAGGCTGGAGTGCAGAGGCGCTATCTCGGCTCGCTGCAAGCTCCGCCTCCCGGGTTCACGACATTCTCCTGCCTCAGCCTCTTGAGTAGCTGGGGATACCGGCGCCTGTGTGTGTGTGTGTCGCACCCGGCTGTGTGTGTGTGTGTGTGTGTGTTTAGTAGAGACAGGGTTTCATCATGTCAGCCAGGGTGTGTGTGTGTGTCGCACCCGGCTGTGTGTGTGTGTGTG